GAAATCCCGCGATGCCAGATAGCCCTGATAAAATGTGAGCGAAGAGAGGAAAGAAAGGACCTGGGAACAGTAATCGGAATGGTCAAAAAAATGCAGAGCAATTTGGGAAGGATATGGGTTTGAGGGAGTTCAATAATTCAGATTCTCTACGTATCTTGGAGAGCAATGGGAGATAGTTGAGGGCATAGAGAGATGAAGGAGTCCGTTCTCCATTGAAAGGAGAAAGTGGATTTGAGATGCAAGAGACTCCTATGGTCTAGCAACACATTAAATACTTCGTCTTGTTACACGTCTTCTGGAACTGCCCCGGAATACAGCCCTTCTGGGAGGGGGTCCTGGAAATAGTTGAGAACCTGACGGGGGCAGACCTCAGAGGCGACCCAGCGGCTTGCCTGCTCCATTTGACCAAACGGTCGACCTCAAAATATAAACGCTCGTTAACCCATCACTTGGTAAACGCAGCCAGAGCCTGTATACCCTTGAAGTGACGGGACCCCCAGCCTCCCACAGTCCAGCTATGGCTCGCCAGGGTCCAGGATATATATCTACTGGAAGACCTCACAGCCTCACTGAAAAATACTGAAGCCCGTTTCAATGCCACCTGGATGCCATGGGTGTTCTACAGATCCTCAGCACAGTTCCCTCCCCGGGGGTTCCCAGGACGGCGACCAGGGCTCTTGAAGGGTGTGTTAGGTCCCGTCCGGACACACTCCCCCCCTATTCTTTTCTACCTGCGCTTTCTACTGCTTTTTCTCTAACCACGAGATGCAACTATTTTTTGGGTCTATACCTAAATACGGAAATGTTCTTAATAGTGAAACGGTAATCTGTGGACTTTCACAGAATACGAATTTATTGTGTTTTCGATAAGATAAGTTGTTTATTGATTTGAACTTAGAAGTCTTACTGAATATGTCAGATGTGTTATAATATGTTATATTGCGGATCCAGTGAATGCTGTGTCATCACTGGATCCACTGTCATCGCTGTTTTATGACATTGATTCAGTTAATAAAGAATTTTTAAAAAAATACTTTGTCTTGGAAAGGTTGATCTTAAAGGTGCTCAGGACACAAAAGCGCCTACATTCCACAAGGGAAGGAATACTGATGAGTGGATGGCAGATGTACAGAAGTAAGTCACCCGCATAAAGAGACAGTTTATATTGGTCAGAGCCCACACCTATATTGTGAATTGAATGGTCAGAGCCCACACCTATACTGTGAATTGAAGAGTTTTTACTAATGGTTTGGGCTAGGTTTTCAATAACAATTGCAAAAAGAAGAGGAAAGAGGGGACAGCCCTGGCGGGTGCCATTACTGATGGGAAAAGGGTCCGAAAAAGTACCATTAACTTGGACCTTTGTGGACGGATTAGAGGAAAGGGACATGATCTTACCAAGAATATTGGGGCCCAGGCCAATCTGTTCGAGAGAGGTGAAGGAGAGAGGTGAAGGAATTCCCAGTTCACCCAGTAAAAAGCCTTTTTGGCGTCAAATGATAACAAACACGCAGGGAGGCGATTGTTGTGGATGTAAGAGAGTAAGTGTATGATCTTAGTAGTGTTATCCCTAGCCTCCTTACCTGGAACAAACTCAACCTTATCCCCGTGGATGATACCTTTCTGGCTGAAGGGAGATGAGGCACAGGTCTGTTAGCTAAGGGTTTAGCAAAAAAATGTAAACCACAGTTTAACCCCTTCATGACTGAGACCTTTTTTTTTCATTTTTTGCACCCATGTTATATTCCACATTTTAGGCCTGCAAATTACTTAAAACCCCCAAATTACTTAAAATATATTTTCTGAAAGCCCAGACCCTATAGAATATAATGGTGGCAGTTGCACATATTTATGTTGCACGATATTAGCTCAACTCCTTATCAAACCCCAAAATTTGGTGAAAAATGTACTTAAATGCCCCAAAACACAATAAAATACCAATTTTTAAAAAATAAAATATAAAAGATGAGGTTACAATGAGTAAATGGATACCCAACATGCGAAACGGCAACAAAATTCAGTACCCCAAAAATCCAAATATGACGCTTTAAAAGCCCCCACAGGTCATCAGTTTAGAGATACCCAAAAACACTGGCCCTAGAATGATTGGTCTCCCTCTGGTGTGTGTGGCGATACCCAACGTGGGTAGCGCGTTCGTCGTTTTCATATGTATGCGCACCCGACGCGTGTTTATTATTGTTAGATTTATTTTATTTAATGTTAATTTTAAAAACTGCTATTTTTTTACTTTAATTGCTATCACATAGGGGGGCTTCCAAGCCCCCCATGTGATAGCAGATGGTGGTGACAGATACTCTTTAAGGTGATGCTGGGGGTCCAGAAGACCCCCAGTGTCACCTTTACACTCCAAATAAGTTATTGAAGTGCAGATCAGGTGCTTCAGGAGCCCAGCACTGACAGCTATGGGACCGGAAGTGATGCAATCAGCATCGCTCCCAGTGTTATCTGTGCTTTGTCACCCCAGCAGAGTCAGTGTTACCTGTGCGGTGTCACCCCAGCAGAATCAGTGTTACCTGTGTGTTGGAATACACATTTCGATTACATATATTAAGTTGTAATAGTGTTAAAATAAAAGTGGGTGCACTGAAGGAACCGTAGGGATGGCCAGTGGACGGACTCAATGGGACAGCCAGTGGACAGGCCCATGCAGTGTTCTTAGGGGGACAGGGGGGCCCTGGCCTGAAGCTGTGTACGGGGCCCCAAAATTTCTGATGGCTGCTCTGGTCCTCTGATCCAGACTCATTGAAGGGAATTTATCGAAACTGGAGCAGACAAAATCCGGAGCAGCTGTGCATGGCAACCACTTCTCTCTTCAGTTTTTTCAGTTAAGATTTGAAAATGAAAGAGAGAAGCTGATTGGTTGCCATGCATGGCTGCTCCAGATTTTGTCTGCCAGTTTTGATAAATTCCCCTCTGTGTGTCATCTCTCTTATCTCCTTTTGATTCAGTGTCTAGTGTACTATTGTCCAGCGAGAAACATAGAAGTTTTAGACAGGGATGTCCTGATTGGATCCTGTGTCCCTCAATATATAATAGAGAAATACAATTGTAAGCATTTTATGTAAAAAATGCCAATTGGCGTGTTTTGGCACTGGAGTTTGTGCACTTCCAGGCCTTTAGAACACAATTTCAAGGAGAATTATGGGGTATACCTTTTTTGCATTTGTAGTTTCCTTATGATACAGGAGTACATTTTGGTCCTGTAATCAAAAATGCACCATAAGCTTACAATTCAATGTAATATACTGTAGGTGGGGCTAAGCTCTGTGCTGAGAAGCGATCCTGACAATATTGTCAGGAGCCTCCTCTCCCACTGAGTGACAGCAGCTTGTAGCAGCTGCTGCACGTTCATGAGAACCTGTGCAGGCGTAGCAGCTCAGGCCACATCTTCTGCACATAAGTTAAAAACATATGCGACTTCTGCGCACCACGTCATA